GTTGATTTGGAAGTAATCTTTCTCACATTTACATTCTTTTCACTGAACAAAATAGCATCAAGGCGAGGAAAATAGATCTGTACGAATCTGTTGAAAGATAGCACCACTGTGAGCACGGTATAGGCAACGTAGGCCGGTGTCGCCAAAACTCCCATAGCCTGAAACAACGCAGGTAAGAATCGGGTTTCCTGCTCATAATACAGGCTAGAATCGTGCCGAGGAATCTGCAGTTCCGGGCGATCAACAAATTTGTATTGATTTGGAAATCGCTTTCCAGAAGGAGAGAAAGTGAAAGTTCACAAGGTTGTAGGCTAGAAGATGGCGGACAAACCTTTGCCAGTGCTGGATGCACCACTGATTGGAGTATTGTGAATATTCCAGTGACAAAATGTGGCAGACATTGGACGACATCGAACACGCCCAGAATGAACATCAGCTTATAGCAAGACATTCTGATGAGATCGTTATCTCTCCACAGCATCTAAGAAGCAGATTTTTAAGGGTATTCTGGTTGAGGCTGGCTGGAAGTGTCGATTTTTTGTGATAGGTGGAAAGACTACTGCGTGGTTTGGAGTTCCAGTAATTAGTTGCTATTTCACGCAGGACCCCTCATGTTACTATTAAAACCCATCTGCTGCGGCAGAAGGTCCCCTTTCAAGAGCTCTTTCTTGTCTAGCTGAGCTCCTCTGGAATCGGTGAAGACGGGACGGTTGCAGGAGTGGGAGTTAGCCTATCACCAAGCGCTTCCAAACCATTGCAAAAACCTGAGATTTCTGACATTAGAGATGTCAGCGCACCCTGCCCCCCCCCCCTCCTCCGTTTTTGTCAAACTCTAGTCCTAGCAGGGAATTTCATGCAAAGTGTTCCCTAAGAGGTCATCCACCTTCTTCATCCCAGGAAAATTGTCGAGGAGACTGAACTAGAAAAACGAATTAGTTGTTTTGATTATGGTCAAGGACTAATAATGAGAGACATATGATTTTTTCATAATTGCTGATAATCAACTTCTAATCACCAATTTTTTTAATGCCTTACCACCAAAATTATAGAGTAAGCGCATCCACAGGCAAAGGAAAGGGCCATCATAGAACAACCAACGATCACGTCGCTAAGTGGAGTTCGGCCTGGAACACTTTTTTGAAAACGTGTATATCAATAAAGAAAGCAAACTATTAGATCGGATGGAAAGTCCTGTGACACTTTCAACAAACTATTCTGAAAAAGAAAATCATGGCGCACCTTGTGTCTATTCCTGGTAGCTGGGGAGGATTTTCTAAGCTCCACAGACGAGGGTGCTTTGGGTTTGGAGCGCAGAGGTCAAAAATTCTCAAGGGTGAGGATGGGAATTTATGAACCTATCCTACATTACGAGTTCCTCTAGGGTCACTGTGTAGTCGACCACCACAAAAGAATTACGACAATTTGTCCAGTTTGTGGGGGCGCAGTCGAATGTAACCACCACTTAGCTCGTTGTGATCGTTTATGAGATCCTCACCTCCGTAGTCAGTTTCCTCCATATGCTTCAGTGGTGTGCTTTGGTGAAACAGTCGTTCTGAGCTTCATTCTTACAGTATACCATTGAAAAAGTGTCTGAAATGACTAAAAATAAAGAAGTCAAAGGCACCACGCTACGATTTGGCAGAACAACATCGCATTGTTTTTATTGTTTCCTAGATCGATGTCAAGAAAGGAAAGAATCACCAGCCCAGTACATTCTGTACATTCTTTACTGGCTCGATGCAGTACCTAGTAGAAGACTAGAAGACCACATGAGCCACCTCCATTACTTGTGCTTTGCTTTGGCTTACCTTTCAGTGGTGCTTCTGTGGTGCTTTTTGACTGTCAAGGGAAGACGGAACGAGCTTATACCGCTATATTTCCTGTGCTAACCCACCAGCGAAGGGTAAACCAGTCGAGGATGCATGGAACAACTCAAGAAATTGGACACTTGATGTCCTCAGCCACGTAAGGAAAAAAATCGCCAGAAGCCTGATATTCCATGCCAAGTTGATGTTGATGCATTATCGCCGTATAAGGTAATTTGTCGCATAGAAATGCTAATTTCCATATTAGTCGCATTGGTTTTCGAGCTTGAATCAGGTGTGATTAAGGAGGCAACGAGCGCGTGCAGACTGCTCTCTTAATTGTAAAGAAGTATTGTGACGCTTCGATGCCGGAAGTATTTGTGTTAACTCCATTACCTGATTAACGGCCTTCCACTACAATGTCTTCAAATGGCATTCAGCCATAACGATGGTCCCTGAACGGGCACACGACGGGTTGTTCTTCTAGCTTTGTGGTGAATTATGATCAAGATACTTTGTGCTAGAGATATGAAAGTATTATAGGCAAGATTAAAACGAGTGATTTGGAGCCGTGTCCGATAATTGTGCCGTTTTTGGAACTTTTCCCTATCAACACAATTGCTTGTGGGAGTTTCTCAGAGAAGGCAAAGAACGCCACAATCTCACCACGTGATGTTTCGGGTAGTTCAGATCGCAAAATTCTGCAAAAAGCCGGATTTTCATCGAAGATCTTTGGATCCTTTAGACTCAGAGCAGTTGAGGTGTCAGTGAAACCCACCCAAAAGTTGACAGAAAGGATGTACACTCTAGTTCGAGTTACATTTGTTGAAACGACAACATGCGACAACAATTGGTAGAAAACGAGTGATACGAATGATATGATACATCTTATCACTTGTTCGCTTCAACAACTGTTGAAGAACGGGTTTGCCACTGCGCCGAATTCATCCCGCCTGACTGTATCTAATTGTAAGGTGTAGATTTTGGGGGGTGATTTGGTTTGAGCGAACTTGTTACCATAGAATTTCCCTGAGCCACTTCAGGTACACTTCTTTCTCCAGGTATCTTAGCGTGCCTATGATATGCTTGTTCAACTCAACATTGCGTGTGAGGCCTGATAGAATACTAACGCGAAAAACGGGACGGGAAAATTCGGGTGGAGTTTCCTGGCTACAGTAATTATTGGCCAAAGTTGAAAACAAGCGGTGCCCTTGTTGCAATTAGGATGCAATCGTGCCGATTTTTCAATGTCAGAGATGCACCACATTCAGTTGGGATGGTGTCAGAAGGGGTGAATGAGTCTTCCCCGGCAGCGTTTTCTACCAATAGCGATTGAATGGTGGTCGATCTGGAAGCCTGCTCGAAACTCCGCCCCGGCGCGATGTATACCACACGTCACCCGATGAGTTGGCGACTGTATCAGCGTATAATGTAAAGGAGTATTAGAAGAAATTCCATTTGACCCCGACTGTATTGAATAAACAAGAGCTGAACAACCGGCGTGACAAACTTCTTGTCAAGTCAAGGTTTCGAGGCAAGTTGTGAAAGGTGCGTTTATAAGGGCAAATAATCCCAGAATATTCTATCATAATGGGTTAGAAATTGAAGGGCTAATCGGTTTTCTAGCTTATATGAGTGCAATTCAAATCGAAGAAATGGGTCAACTAAGGCGATCATGGTGCATAAGGCCTTTCTCAACCCTCTGGTGGAGATCAGTGTCGAGGAAAGCAACTAATGGTAAGGCAAGTGACTTAGACGAAAATCTGGTAGACTTCCGAAGCGCCGGGACAAATGCTCGCGTTTGTTATAGCTGGAAAGAAGTGGTTGTTTTCGAAAACTCGTTAACGAGGCAAACGTTCTTTATAATAACAGATGGAACAATGTAGCCGACTCCCCTTTTACAAGCACCGGATTCGGCTACTACTCCTTTATGTGAGCAACCTTACGACCGATTAAATTACTTCGTATTTCAGGCTGGCCTGTTCTGGTAATCCAGACAGTTTCTTGAAAAATATGGCGGAAGGTAAGCAATAATATGAGGAAAGAAAAGAGGATTTGTTCAACGGGCTCAATTTTACCAGGTCGAGTTACCCCGAGATGTTTTGTAATTGTTAGGTGATCGTCACGATCTAGGTAAGCTTGCCATAGTTCGCAACGACAGCAAGCAGGCGTATCGCGGCGACCGTCGGGCGACTCCGCTGAGTCGAAGATAGACAGTACGTGCAGAAGCGTGCCCCAACGCTATTACTTGGACCGCTCCGAAGGCTTTCAGGGAAAGCGAGTTCAATTTCATGACTTTTTTTCCTTTAACTGCAATTTTCTTAGGTACTGAAGCTTGGTTTGACACAAAGAAAGGTGAACCCAACTTAATGGCTTTTGTTTTCTATTTTCTTTCTTGATTCAGGATAGAAATGAGCAAAAGCGTGAGAGCTTCATTTAGGGTAGGTTTTTATTGTTTCTTTTTTTCGAGCTTATACATGAGGTTATAAAGTTTTCACCTGTCGATGTTGCGTAAAATGAATTAGTGTTAGTTGGCTTTCTAGGTGAGTTTCTTTCTGTTTCTTTTTTTTCTCTTCGTTGTTTGAACTCGACTTGTGAACTATAAATGTTTTGGAAGTTGGAACAGTTCAGACGATAGGAACTTTTGAGGCGCAAAATTGAAGACATATAAAACAGAAAGAAAGCAAAAAAAAGAAGCTACCCAGGAAGTGGCAGTTGTCTCTTATTCGTAATCTAAAATAAAGTGAACCTCTATTACGCCTCATATTCCAGATGCCGCTATGTATAAGTAGTAAGTTATTAGTTAGTAGCACGTTTATCAAGAAGAGAAGAATGTCTGCAACGATTGTGATTACCTTATTTATCAAGCGAGCGGTCCATAATGAGCGTTTGGGGCGCGCTCTGCAGCGGCGAGCGCGCTCAGGCAGCGGCGAGACCGCCCGACGTGCGCCGTCAGATCGCCGCTGCTGTCTGCGAAGCCTGAACGCTGCTAACCAACAGGTGTCATAGTGGCCAGGGGAGACAGAGAGCTCAACGACTGCAAGAATACTTCTCATTGCTACTATATATAGTTATACTATATTAATATATATGGTGAGTCCAAACATGGCGCTCTCCCTGGTTCAAGGGGTTTCCAGCCAATATGACTAATATGAGACCTTGAACGGACGCATTCATGAGAAAGGTGGCGAATGGCGTGTTTCATCTCCGCGGCGGTCTGCGGACAAACAGATGGCTGTTCGTCTCCGCCGGTCTGCGGACAACTTGAACTCAATTCATTTAAACGCGCGGGATTTGTGTTTTTCTCTGCTCTCTCTCGTCCTACGGCACTCTATGATCATTGTGACTTCGCACAACCCACCTTTTTCACATGATAAGTGGCTCACCCACCCCGGAGTACCATCCTCTTGAAAAAGCTCGTTCCCTGGCTCGCCATAGTTTCTTGAACTCTCGATGCCTTGGCAGGCGCTGCCTCTGTCTGTCTGCGTCTCTTGGTTTCGCAACAGGACCATGCACAAAAGTTCAAGATGTCACGCAACCGTCTCCGCCTACTTAGTTATTGCGGAATGCGCCTTTGAGCCAACGAGGAGGCCAAGTGATGCCGGATGCTGTTGCTGAGCACTTTTCAGTGAACAATCTTCCAGGTCTAGGCCTTTCTTCCCGTTAGGGTCATTTACTGAAAGATGAGAGAAGGGATAGATGGATCCTGAATTCTACAGCGACTGGAACTGCAGTAAAGGCCGAAGAGCTTAGAAACGACTGCATGAAAGAGATGAAGAGCAACCGAATGGCTTAGCAGCTGGGCATTAATGAAGTCCGTTGCTCACAACAAAAAGCTCAATTCAAGTCATTCGCAAACTATCAATTTATTAATTAATGCTAATTTCTCCGCTTATGAACCGCTTCACAAAGGCTTACGCAATAGTTTTTTTTTGAAGTAATTACCGTACTTTTGAGTAACTTCGAATTGCCACTAATTCCTTAAGTTCTTCGTTAATTACAACTGGCCGATAAACGTACAGTACCCCACACGTCATCGGTAGAATGTAATAAAGATTTTTTTCTGTAACTCAAAAAAACTGGGGCTTCTTCCAGAGAAAGCAGTCCTACAATCTGAGTCTTGTGTTTTTCTGCTTTTCGAGCTCACAATGTTTTCTTCTGGAAAAATCTGCTGTTGTAAGGGGATGATCACTCAGAATAACTAACTTCTCTCAATAATTTGGAGGTCAGTAATGACAGCTGAGGGCACCAGTAATCATGGAAAATACCTCTACAAACCCA